ATCGTATCAAACAACTTCAATGCGTTTCAAGCTTTCAGCTAAATCTCTTCTGCCTATTGTTCAACTGGATCCAAACTGTTGTTAAATCTTCTCTGTCTTAGGAACACAGAAACAGGAGGAGGCCGTTCAGCCTGTCAAATCTGTTCCACTATTTTCTTAGCACGGCAGATATTTTAATCCCATTTCCTCCGAAAGGTTTGTACAGCTATATATTTGCAGGTAAACACGGTAGTCAATTAGTCTACAACAAGATCTCACGAACAGCAATGAAGTAAATAACCTCTTTTTCTGTAGAATTGTTGGACATCAAGAGAAAGTTTCTTTTCTTTTGCAATAGTAGCGTCAAGGGATTGTTATAGGTACCTGAACAGGCAGATGGGAGTTTGGTTTGACACCTCATCGGATTGATGTCTCCATCAATCCCAAGTATGCAATGGAGTGTCAGTGTGGACTGTGAGCTCAAGTGCTGAAATGCGACTTAAACCCACTAACTTTTTAGCCAATGAGCCAAGACCACACCTAAAATGAAAGAGTACTATCACAATTGGAGTACTAACCCACACAGGAATATCACTAGATACTAAACTCAATCTGTAATTATTTTTAAAATAAGGCACATGTACTGGGTGTACAGTTTTCCCGTTTAAAGCCTCATCCCCACAAATTAGTCATTTTTGTAAGAAATTCAATTAGTGCAGAGCTGTGTGTGTGTGGGGGGGGGACAATGACTTGTATTTGATCTGATAATAATTGATAATTGGAGGAAAGGTGCAATTGAATCAGCTCAAGAGAACGCTCTTGTCACCCAGGGGCTGAGTCGTATTGTCTCAATAAAATACTAAGTCTATGTATGCAGTTTAATCTCTGCCTTCTGCTGATGTCCATAAAGCATTCGAAGATTAAGTGTCCATAAACCAATTAATGCTAATGCCTATCAATCATCTGTACATCAATTCAGTCAACAGTTTATAGCACCGTCAGAATTAATTGACCAAGGTGATCTACAACATTGTAACTCACTACCTGTTATCTCATACTTGGTGTGTTTATAGCAGCCTTCAATCACTTCTTTTAACAAGAGGGCGTACATCATGCTTATCAAGTGTTAACATTATTTAATAATAGAAAAATGCTCTGTGTGCACAGACAAACATCACTGTGCTGGCAATTCAAACCCTGTGCTCAAACTGATGTGAAAATGGACTTCTGTGGGCATCGCATTCACCCTTCGCTGTGCCATCTGCTTGTCAACAAAGCTCCCAGCTTTCCAAGCGAGTGCCAACACAAAACCCAATAAGATTGTGCCAACTTACCCACTTATTTTCACAGAAATCACTAACCTTGCTTTCATCCACATAGCACTTCTCTGTAGAGGGCTGCTTAATTAAATCTATTAATATGCATTAAGCATAATTTGGCCATTACCATACACATCTCTGCCATACAATGAATTTCTCTTGCATAAATTAATTGCGAGAAAGAGCCAGGCATCGTGCAGGTGGTAATGCGATCTCGCTGATTTATTTAATCTGCGTTCCGAACTTGCAATTGGCCTCGATAACATTTTATCCCCTTGATTTTCTTCCAAATGTTTCCATTAGTTTCCATTTCGTGCCTCGGTTTGCTGAGTTCACTGTCTATATGCCGTTAGCCAATAAGCAGCGCAAAACACGACAATTCTGCAATTTGTCTGTCTTTCCTACTGTAGGAAGCTCCAAGCTGTCAGGCAAACTATGAAGCAACAAAGTATATTTCGACAGTAAAGGCTCAGCTGAATTCAAGGGGTAGTTTGTGGGATCTGTGGCGGTTTGTCTAGTTGGGCTCCCATCAGATTTAGCCTCCGAACAAAATGTTCCTTCTTAAAAATAGAAAGTTCCTTTTGAACTCATGATCCAGACCAATTGCTTCACAGCTTGCTTTTTGGACGCACAAAGAACAACTCGCCTCGCGAGCCAGAGGATCTGGGTTCGATTCCCAGACGGGGGCGAAACGTTGGGCAAGTTTCCTTACTCCACGCGCCTCGTTGCACCCAGTAGTCAGGAGGAACGCAGTTGTTAGTCGATTGGCGGATCACTTTTCCGGGGGTAACAACCCCTTCAAAAAACATTTAAATAATTTAGTCACTCAGTGTTCGTGTGGGACGCTGCTGTGCGCAATTGGCTGCCACGTTTCGCCCACAAAACATACAGCCAATCCACTTTACAGTATATCCTGTGAAGCGCTTTGAGACGTCTCGAAGACGTGATAAGGCGATGTATCGAACGCAAGGGTTATTAGTATTGCAAAATAACTTCTTGTGACAAATTGTGAAAGGGCGCTGTACAAATGTAATTTGTTGTTGCTGTCATTACAAATGATCTCAGATTGTGAGATTGGAACAAAACCCCAAACCTGGACGAGTGTCACAGAACGTGCAAATTCCCAAACTCCAAGTGACGTTGGAATGAATTTATGGATAAATCTTATGAATACAAAAACAGAACCTAAGAGTCCCCACGGACTGGTTTTTGAATTGGCCCTTTCGCACATAGGACAGATTTGGGACATCAAAGGCCAGTCACATCTTAAACTTATCAAAAAGAAAGAAAAACACAAGTTGGCAAATTGCCCATCTGTAACAATTTAAACGTGGAACAGTGCCAAGTTCTCTCGGATCATCTCTCTGCGGGATTACAGTTTTGCAATCGCACCACATTTACGCTGCTGTAACTGTCTACAGGCTTGACACTGGCTCAGTCAGAGATCCGCAACATGGGCAGTCTGCAGTTCTAAGTGCAATAACTAGCATTTGAGATGCGCGGTCAGACGGCTACACCAAATTCAGTCATGAGTTTATGTGACAGCGTAAATTCATGAGGAGGTCTTATACCGGAGCATGTACCAGATTTACTGACGGATGAATGTTGCACTTAACCTGCGGGGCAGGAAAGGTCGCGGGTTTGAATCCTGGGCTGTGTTGATTTAGCTCAGGGTGCTCCAACCCTTTGGCTGCTGAGGGCCGGATGCCCTACTTGAGAAACTGCCCCTACGCTGCTCCCCTGAACTCAACCAGTGTCAATGCTGATCATACTCCTCTTCATTGTTGATTACTAACCAGTGGTAATATCAATATCGGTGAGCAGGCGAAACCTTAGGCGAGTTTACCTCGTCTACACGCCTCTATGTACCGAGCAGCGAGCAGGAACCCCTTAGTCGATTAGTGGATCGCTTTCCCGGGGGTAATAATCCCTCAAAAAAAAATTGGTCACTCGATCCACGACTGTTTGTGGGACGTTGCTGTGCACAATTGACTGCTGCATTTCGCCCACAAAATGTACAGTCTTATACTTTACCTTATATTCTGCAAAGCGCTTTGAGATGTCTCACCGACGTGATCAAATGCAAGGATTATTATTATAATAATCTTACTCCGATATGCATCTGTGTGTTTGTGTGTGTATGAGCTGCCTTCAATTCACAGCGGGAAAAACGCTAGCGTACGTTCTGCAAAGTTTTAAAAAATAAGTAAGTTGATAATAGATGTTACTAAAAAAATTATTAATTCTGTATGTTGCTTTCTAATAACACTAATATGATGGTGGGATTAATTTGGGTCACAGTGTATAGCAGAACGGTAATAAAGAATTAATTCCATAGAGTGTTTGCCTTGCCCTTATTCTTTAGAAGCCCTTAGCAAATTACAAATTTGTTTTACATCTACCCACCTCCTGCTTCCACACTCCTCCCTAGAGTTCCTAACCAACGAAAGGGAATTATTCATGCACAGTTACAAATTTTGTGCGGCGATACTTGATAATTATTTCAGAAGTGACTGAATATTGATTTTTACTTTCATTACTGAACTACTGAGGGTACCTTTGAAAGATGGAAAGATCATACTTCACATTAGATGAAATAATTAATCACCAGCCCACGCACACAAAAGGCTTCGGCCCCGTCAGGTGAGAACGTTGAGACAGGGTGTTTGCTCAGTTGGCAGCGTGCTCACAATTGATCGTAGGAGGTGCTGTCCTCTGGATGAGACGTTAAACCGAGTTTGTTCAGGTGGACCTTCAGGTGGGGGTAGCACCCCAGAGTGCTTGGCAGTGATGGAGCACGACGCAGAGCCAGAGGGGGGGTGGGGGAGGTGACCGTAGGCACTGGTCGAAGAGGAAGGTCTTCAGGTGCGACCTGAAGATGGGGAAGGAAGGGGCAGGGTGGAGGGAGGGAGGGAGGGAGGGAGGGATCGAGGACGATGGCTCCATTGTTCCAGCTAAAGATCCTATGGCACTATTTCAAGGAAAAGTAGTGATATCCCAGCATCCAGCTTCATTGGTTATTCATCTCCTTGTTGTTTGTAGAGTGTTGCTGGTACAGATATGTTGCTGGGTTAGCAACAGTCTCCGCACCTCCAAGTGACATGTTTTTGGTGCGATGAGGCACGAGATGAGAGTCAAGAAATAATATACAGAACAGACAGATTTTGCAGTGAGACTAAACGCGAACTAATGGTTCCTTCTGGAAGCTTTTGTGGCTGTTTTATGGAACCATAGACATTTCAGTATAGCTTGAGGTTGTGCAACCTATTTTGTCAATACTGTTCTCCAGCGAAGACACGACTGTAAAATGTAACAACTGCTATAAATTTGCAACGTAAACTGGTTGCAGTTAATCCCTTGAACGTTTTCGGTTCCCACCCCTTAACAGCCGTGTCCACAAACATACACACACACACACGCACGTACACGCATGCACTTCCCAGATGTTTCCGTGGTAATAGATGGCTCTTGGCCTTTGATTGACTGCCTCGGTCTGTGATCCTGACGTTTAATCAGCACGGAAACCATTTATTGCCTGACAAATGGAAGTTATCACTTAACTAATCAATGCTATTGTAGTTCATTTTGTTTGTTCCGTTCTTCATCGGCAAAACACCGCGGCGGTTGAATCGGTAGCTAAAGGTTTTGCGGGAACAAAATCTTAATGTGCATTTTATTTTATTCTTTCTGGTTCCCTTTCAGGAAGCGATTCTCAGCGCTTGGATACAGTTCAGCGATAACACCCTCGCCCCGCTAGATATTTACGATCCCGAGGACTTTTCGCTGGCTGTCACTTCGCGGGAAGAAGCCGTCGTCTCGACGAACCAAGACTTGCAGCTGCGTTGGCCGGTCGTCACCGCGGAGGGAGAAGGGCAGGGCAACCTGCTAAAAGTGGAGATGGTCATCTGCGAAGTTTGCCAGAAGTCCAAGCGCAAGAGCATCCTGGCCGTGGGCAACGGGAACGTCAAGGTCAAGTTCAGCCAGAACGACGGGGGCCCGAGGGGGGCCGGGGATCACGGAGCCGACGGAGACCTGGAGAACCGGGCCAGCGACCGCAGGCAGAAGAACGCGGAGCAGGAGCGGAGTGGGCAGGACGGGCGATATTTTAGCAGCGCCACGGCGGACAGGGAGGAGAGCTCGATGAGGAAGGTCAGCACCACGGCCAAAGCGTCGGTCAACGGGATGGACGGACTGGATCAGCCTTCGGACGACAACAGCCAACTCCAAAACATACCGCTGGACGCCGCCAACTTCCCATCACCCGATTTGACCAGGAATGCCGAGGGTGACGACAGAGCGAACGAGAACGACCTGATGCAGGCTCCTCGGGGGCTGACGGACCTGGAGATCGGAATGTACGCTTTGCTGGGCGTGTTTTGCCTGGCAATCCTCGTCTTCTTAATCAACTGCGTGATGTTTGCCTTGAAGTATCGCCACAAGAGAATTCCTTCGGAAGGACAGGGAAACATGAACCACTCCCACGACTGGGTCTGGTTGGGCAACGAGAGCGAGCTACTGGAAAACACCGCCGACGTCTCACCCCAGCGGGACTGCGAGCACACCACCACCATAGACAGAGCGGCGGGGTTCGAGGAGAGCAACCACCTGCTCAACGGGGGTTCCCAGAAAAACGTCCAGGGTCAGATACACAGATCTGCGCTCAACGGCGACGGCAAAGAGCGCAAAGACGAACCATTGAACTCTCCCACCACGAAACGGAAACGAGTAAAGTTTACAACGTTTACCACCATCCCTCCTGACGATGGGTGTCCTGCTACAAACTCCATCCTCTTGGGGACCGAGGACAACATTCAATGGGTCTGTCGGGACATGAGCCTCGGGGACTCGCACGAACTGAGAAATTACATGGAGAGAATACAAGACAGCGTGTAAACATGCTCCTCTTATCTGTTTTCATTCTTTGCTCACCTTTATGCCTTCAGTTTTGGGTGATTGTGCAGTAAAAAATCCAGTCAACTATGGGTCTGATTTTGCAAACGAAAACACTGGCAGAAAAGCACAGAACTACACACACGCCAACGCTGGGCAAAACCCACATCTGTTACCCTAGAGACGAACTGCATCAAATGGCGTCCACGGAATGAATGCAATGCACAGACTTATCAGGACGGAATTCGGAAAGGCGACAGATACAGGGCTAACATTTGGGGAGGTTGTGTGTGCGTGTGCGTGTGTGCGCGCACATGTGTGTGTGTGTGTGTGGACATTTTTGCTTATGAATACGATATAGCAAAAGGAGACTGAATGCAGCGGACAGAAAGGCTTTGCCGAGCTGCAGTAAGCGCTGAGGAAAGGATTAAACCCCCACATTAATTTGTGATGGTTACCTCAAAACACTGGGAAAGTGGCACCTTAGTGAAATTCCTCCCATCAATTTTGATGACGTCCACCTGTTCTTGGGAAATCCCATTATAAGGCGCGTTGTCAACAGTCACTACACTTCAAGGAATTTCCCACCCACAGAATAATAGCTTCCCAAACGGGTAGCGTTTCGTGGAAGAAGCACTACCGACTGGGTGGCAAGACGACAGTATAGGAGTTCGCCCTTAACACTGGCCCTTAAGAGCCAACTTCAAACTTAACCATTTTATATGATTTGTTAAACTCGGACTTCAGTTCCACTCTCAGTTCTCGGACCCCACGTTCTGTGTACATTTTTATTTTATTACGTCTTGTTTATATTTAGGCTCTTGTGTTTTCATTTTTATTATTTATGCAGTTAGGACCCACCTTTATAACTTAGGTGAAACATTTTAACAGCGTATACCTAGAATGCATTGTAGATTTACTAGACTGTAAAAATTTATTTATAAATATTATACACATTGTAAATAAAAGTTGCTTAAGATAGCTTGGAAATTTAAGCCGTTCCAGACCACTCCAGTCTCTGCAGTGTATACTTCATCCCTTCGTTTTAAGCACGTCTAGGTGTAGCCATCACACATTCAACAGTTGCTGCTGGTACATCAGGAACAAGAATAAAAAATTGCATTCATATAGTGCCTTTCAAGTAGGACGAACTTCAGAGATAATACAGCACCGAGCAAAGTGAGTGAGATGAAGGAGGATTTAAGAGCGTTGACAAAACTGCGCGATCATTAAAAGGGTCGTGGTAGCGGGCGGAGAAAGCAAAGAGGAAGAGGTTTGCGGAAGAATATTTCAGCGAATAATAATAATCCTTGCACTTGATACAGCGCCTTACAGCGTCTTCGAGACGTCTCAAAGCGCTTCACAGAATATACCGTAAAGTGTATAGAATAGCTGGGGTTCGAGCACTAATGGCGGAGCAGAGGGAAACAAGGTTATCGTTTATCGGACCCCTGAGGGGTCTCCAAGAGAACAAATAAACCAGGCAATTACAGTGCGTTCTGTGAGTGGTCTGAAAGAAGTCAGTGGGTAATAAGACAAAATAGGTTCTTTTCAATTGGGATTCATTGAAGTCTGGAGTACACGAGAGACAGCAAGCCCATTGCAGGTATCCAGATGGCAAAGGCAAACAGTATTACTTATTAATCAATCGACATGAAGTGATTGGAAATATACTGAAATGTAAATGGCATTGACTTTACACAGAAATTGGTATGTAGGTGAAGGATGGGTACTGACTGTGCATTGTCGGGCCAGTGACTGAGTTACACCTGGCAAGTTTTAAAAGAAATTATATAATTCTGAACAGTTCAAAGTCAATGTTCAACGTTCGATACTCTGATAGCTGTTGGATTACTGTTCAGACTGATTTCCTAAATTCTGTTTTGGCTGTCGAATTATGGTCATTTTTTTTCTGCGCCTTGCGATCTTGCGAAAGGAGGATAAATTGAGAAGATGAAGCTACTAAGTATAATCTGCCAGTTCAATGGGTTTTCTAAATTACTTCACCTGGTCTTTTCACTCGCAGGGAACATGAGGAAATAGTCTTAAGTATAGAAACCGCATGGAGTTGTTTTATCTCCAGCTGTTAGCAGCAAACTACCCATTACTAGAGAAAAAATAGAATTATCAGAGAGACTTTGTGTCAAATCAATGCCATTTATACAAGCACGTGGACAGTTATAGAATTACAAGAGGAACTGAGCGTGGCTTATAGGAGGGAGAGTGTGCCTGGCAAAAAGCTAGAGTCCTAGAATTTTACAGGAGGCCATTCGGCCCATCATGCCTGTGCCAGCTCTTTGAAAATGCTACCAACTAGTCCCACTCCCCCGCTCTCACTCCGTAGCCTTGCAATTTTTTCCTCTTTAAGTAATTATCTCATTCCCTTTTTGGAAAGCTGTTATTGAATCCGCATCCACCAGCCTTTCAGGCAGTGTGTTCCACACCGTAACCACACTCTGGGTAAAAAAAAATATTAGATGTTTCTTTTGCAAAGTAAAGGAACTGGTGGATAAGGGGAATTCAGTAGACATATGTCTAGACTTTAGCAAAACTTTTGACATGGTGCCACACAGAATATGGGAGGGCGGACCTTTGAAGTGCATCAAAAATATAACCACTCAGATGAACCACAATGGCCTTTCCTCTGCTTCTAACCCAGCAGTAATTTAACTTTGCTAAAGCCTGACATGTTATCTCCTCTCACCCTTTGTTATTTGTCTCACCCTTTAAACTCCATCCCCCAGTGCCCTCGCCTCGCTTCCTCCCTTTCCTCCTTCAAGGCCGGTCTCAAGACCTTTTTCTTCGTCCGTGCCTTCAGCTCCCCTCTCGACTCTCTACCCCCTCCTCGCTCCCTCCCTTCCCTCCCCTCACCCTGTCCATTTCCCCCCTGCTCGGGTCCCAACCCAACTGTCCAGCGCCTTGGGACGTCCTCCCTACGTGAAAGGCGCTCTATAAATGAAATCTTGTTGTTGTTGTTAGGAAGCAGAGAGCTGCAAATGTACCTCCTGACAACACCCCTTCTAAAGGTTGAAAGCAAAAAAGCCGCTGCCTCAACCCCGGATTTAGATAGATTTTTTGCGCACCAATTCAATGTAATTTTCGTGGAGGAAAGTGCATTGGAGTATAAATTAACCCACCACGGTGAGTACAAGCTGTCTCAAGTGTTTCCTCTGAAAAACAGCTGGAGCTATGTGTTCTATCTCCTCTTGTTCTCTGTTTCTGGTATCTTTCTTCAGTACTCTTCATCTCCCTGTGGAAGCTGACGAGGTGAAAGCTGGTGAAACACTGTTTTCTTTGGCATTGCACATCTGCTAAACGAACAACTCGAGTTGCAATCAGTCCATGAATATAAAATTCGAGAAATACAGCTGAAACTTCAATGATCCAAATGGGTAGATTTGACTAATGAAACTTAAAATTAGCCATTTTGCTTTCTGTGCTTCTAACGCAGTAGTAATTGAACTTTACTAAAGCCTGTAAAGATATTACCTTTAATACCTTTAGTAAAATACAGGGATATTGTACTGTGTACACCATTCCATCTTGGATTCTGGATCCGTACTCAGCTATCTTAACTTTATGCGGCTCATTGAGCATGAACGGTGTATGTCAATTGGTAATTGCCAACAGAAATGTACGCCAATAGAAATGGCATCATAAGAGGAGGTCATGCAAGAGTGGAACTCATGCTGTTCCTAATTTCTCACTGGTGCTCTCTACTCTAATCCCATTCCCTGCTCTCTCCCCATCGTGTCTGTTTTGGTGCTCACTCCCCCACTGGAGCTCTCTAATCCCATTCCCGGTACCCTGTGTCCTCCTCTGCTGATGTTAATCCAAGAAAGGCTAAACAGGTGACGGTTTCAAATAGGAATTCTGACTGCCTGTACTTAAAATAATAAGTTTTCCATTTGGGACATTAGAGATCTCGCTTTTTTCATGTGGCGTTAATTTTTAATTTCGAGGCTCTCGTTATCTTTAATGAAGATTTCCTCAAACATCAGCTCTCCTGCCAAATGCAAGGTTCGTTACCAGTTAATTAATGCACAATTCGTGTGATACAAGTAAGTTTTGTGTTATCTTTTTTACGCCAGAGCCAAATTGTTTGTCGGAGCAGGACAGAATCGAGAGACAAATGAAAACAGCTCCACTGTCTGATGTCTGGTTAGGCTTCCATATTTGTCAACCAATTTCTTTGCCAAATAACCATCCAATTCCTTGTTTGCTAACATTATCGGACTCCATTGCCTCCCTCGGTGCTTCTCTCTCATGATCACCACTTTGAAGATTTCTGCATCATTTTTTAATTGGCTGTTAATTACATCATTAAAGGCACCTGAGTTCATGCCTGCACACGGCTGGTATAAACCAGACCCACAGTAACGGAATCTAAACCAACTCCTCGCCTTCCCTCTTCTGACGTTAAATCTGAGCTCCTTTTGTCAAATTTGCGACCAAGTTCAACGCATCTTAAGAGATTGGTTTAGAACGTTTAGGATCTCGAATATTTCAATACAATCCCTCTTGCGTCGTTGACGTCTTGTTCCTTTGAGCTGTTGCCCCAAACGGACAGGTAACCCAACAACCTTGCAGGTTCCGTGCTAAAATGTAAGATAATTGATTTCTATATTGTTCTGTTTTGCTTTTATCCCCAGGACTTAAGTTGCAACAGGGCTAAAAATCTCAGTAATTTACAAGATCTTTCACAGGATCACTTTTAAAGTGAGCATTGATCCACTTGATGAGAAACTTCGACTGGAGCCGCACATTTAACGTCATGTCAGGGCTTTGCCAACTGTTGATGTATCACACTCCCATGTTTGAGAAAATGTGCTTCTTCAGACCGAACATCAATGAACCCATCTGTCAGCCCCCTCCTCTTCCTCTTCCTCTCCTTCCTATAACTCGTGCACGTGTACGCAAACTCATCGTTGGATGCAAGACCCCTTCCGAACAGAGGAATCGCCTGCTTTGCGAGCCGATATGCCATCGACACAAATGAATCATTCCCAGCCGATCAACTAATTAACACTGCGGGTTTCTGAGAAAAGGTTACAGTGTACTATTGATCAGTTAGTACCAATGCAGAAAGCTTCCACAGGTAGACAATGTACAGGTTTTATCACAATAGGAGTTCTCCGATATTATTAAGAAAACGTTGCTTAAAATAAGCGAGCAGCTTAATCGAGGCTACCAAAATAGGATTGTGAGGCTGTTATGAATAGGTTCTGATTTAAGTAAAATTGAGCCAAGTTTAGATAAGACTGTAATAGTTTATGGAGATTCTGAAACACTAAAAGCCTTCCCTTCTCCCCAACCTCCCTCCCCCCGCCCCCTACCCCTCACCCAATGCCATTTTAATGTATTTTTATTCACCATTATCAACGGAAACTCGAAATAAGATATTTTGGACGTGCTGCGTATTTAACAGCACCAATTACCACTGATTGAAGATAATGCATTATCATGTGACTGAAGAGGTTTAAAGGAATAAGCGAGACCACAAAAAGATTGTATCGTCAGTTCTTTAAAACAGGCTTATGATGATCACGAACCTTAGAGCAGCAGTGGACAGAAAATCAAACCTGCAGCCTTCTCGGTGGAATTTATAATAATAATAATAATAATCCTTTCATTTGATAAAGCTCCTTTTAATATATATTTTTCCTTCTGACACCATAAGTGTATATAGTCCAGTTCGTCTGTAGAGTATTAGCTCATATAAGAGACATCCTGGGACATCCTCCCGGCGTGAAAGGCGCTATACAAATGTAATTTTGTTGTTGTTGTTGTATAATCCTTGAATTTGATACAGCGCCTTATCACGTCTTTGAGACGGCTCAAAGCGCTTCACAGGATACACTGTAAAGTGTATTGGCTGTATATTTTGTGGGCGAAACGCAGCAGCCAATTGCGCACAGCGGCGTCCCCACAAACAGTCGTGGATTGAGTAACCATATTAATATATACATATTTTTTAAACGGATTATTTCCCCTGAA